TCTGATTGCTGACATATGCTATTAAAAGAACTCTAATTAAGAACAAAGGGGACTTTGGGGCTGAATTTGCATTTCATTTGTTGATCAAAACCCTAGAGGTTAAATCCTGCAAAGTACTGAGTATGCCTGGAAAGTGTAAAACTTCAAGAGCTCCCCCCCACCAACAACAACTAAAAATGAGTTTGTGATGCTCATAACTTCTTAGGCACTTGGTAGAATTGGTTCCTAGATTAAAAAGAAATTGTAAGGGAATGCTGCTAGTGAAGACGTGAAGGATGGCTGAGAAGTAGGGGCTCAAAATAAACAGGAAATATCAATAATTTTATTTCTATTATTAGTTCCAATTGCCAAGAGAATCTCTGGGAAAACTGACTGAAAGTGTATTGAAAGGAAAAATAGTAATTGTTTTACAGTAACAACCTGACATTCAACATTTAGTAAATAATTTAAAGTACCAGATTATAGCCGGGCATAAGAAAGCTAAGATATTCATCTGTTCCTCAACATGTGTTCTTGTGCAGCCTCTCTAGATCTCTACTCCCATCACACGCACACGGCCCAGGAGTAGATAAAGAGTAGTAGAAAGTGACTAGTACCATGATTCTACTCTCACCATATGTTGATTAGTGTGGCTGACCTGAAGTCAGGGGAGTAACCAGCTATTGGCAAGGACTGCTAGCAGATTTTGCCTTCTTGAAGAAGGAAGAGGAGTGCAGGGAAGGAACTTTGCTCTGAACTGCCATAAAACAACAACATAGGGAAAATAAACATGCAGGTGCACAAATCCTGCAGTTATGTTAAAGGAACATCCACAAGATAGTATGCAGTTGGATCTTCTGAATAGTTGTATCTATGAGTGTCAGATGTCTATTCTGTTTACCCCAATATGGGTTCACTATAAGAAGAAAGGAAAGAGTTTGGGCAGGAAGAATTTTGCCTTTGATGTGCTACTCACACATCTTCAGGTTTAATTTCATCCGGATAGCTAAAGAGACTTAGATTTGCAACAAAGCTAAATAAGATCTACTCTACTGGATAAAATAGAGCATGCACTGTGAAAAGCAAAACAATAAGATTATTTTTTACACAGTTAATAAAAGCCAAACCTAAAGTCCAAAGGATCACACGTTTTCCCTGATTTATTTTCAGAGATAACATGGATGATTTTTAGAAAGATGACCTTTTTTCAAGGTTTCAGCTTTCACTGCTTTCCAACACATGGTGACTATTCACTAAAGAACACACGACTAAAAACAAGCTGAAAACCAGAAGCAAATTCTAACAATACAAAATCCTTCAGTGAGACCAAGCTACAATAAGCAGAGAACTGGGCACATCACACCTGTTATTACTAAGGAGAATTACGTTTCCACATTTATATCAACTGATTTCACAGGAATCCCCTAGAATTTCACTATGCTTAACTAGGCAATAGTTGTAAAGTTATGTAAGTATGTATTGTTATTATGATTCCATTGAAGTCAACTGCAGTACTTGGACTGATTTCAGTATGAGCAAGATGTGGGTTTTTTTCAATGTTTTAGCTAAATCATTAGCAATCTAACAGAGTTTTATAGATGCACCAGATGTAAAGAAGCTATGTCTTTCATTATATATGTTGCATGATAAAACTATAGTCCAATTAGAAGATAAAATATCTTCCAGCATAAAAAATAGGGCCACTACAAGGTGGGTGTATAACAGGCTGGATAACCATTCTCAGAGAGTAGTTATTAATGGTTCACAGTCATGTGGAAAGGGCAAAACAAGTGGAGTTCCGCTGGGGTCTGTTTGGGGACCAGTTCTGTTCAATATCTTCATCAATGATTTAGATATTGACATAGAGAGTGTGATTACTAAGTTTGCAGATGATACCATTTGGGAGGGGTTGCAACTGCTTTGGAGGATAGGGTCATAATTCAAAATGATCTGAACAAACTCGAAAAATGGTCTGAGGTAAATAGGATGAAGTTTAAAAAGCACAAATGCAAAGTACTCCACTTAGTAATCATTTTCACACATACAGAACGGGAAGTGACTGTCTAGGAAGGAGTACTACAGAAATATGAGACAACAGTGTGACACTATTGCAAAAAAAGCAAACATGATTCTGGGATGCATTAACAGGAGTGGTGATAGAAATGTAGCCGTGTTAGTCTTGTTAACAGGAGTGTTGTGAGTAAGACATGAGAAGTCATTCTTCTGATCTGCTCTGAACTGATTAGGCCTCAATTGGTGTATTGTGTCCACTTCTGGGCACTACATTTCAAAAAAGATGTGCCAAAATTGGAGAAGGTTAAGAGAAGAGCAATAAAAATGATTAAAGGTCTAGAAAACGTGAGCTATTAGGGAAATCTGAAGGAATTGGGCCTGTTTAGTTTGGAAAAGAGAATATTGAGAGGGGAAGTGATAATGTATCTTTTATCATGTATCTAAAAGGGTCTCACAGGGAGGAGGGGGAAAATTGTTCTCTTTATTCTCTGAGGATAGGACAAGAAGCAATGGGCAATTGCAGCAAGGGAAGTTTAGGATGGACATTAAGAAAAAATTCCTAACTGTCAGGATGGTTAAACACTGGAATAAATTGCCTGGGGGGTTGTGGAATCTCGATCACTGGAGATATTTAAGAGCAGATTAGACAGACATCTATCAGGGATGATGTAAATCAGTGTTTCTTAAACTTTTTAAGACCGAGGAACACCAAACAATATTTTTTTTATGAGGAACTCCAAGGATTTTTTGTTGAGGAAAAAAAAAAGGTTGGGGGGGAGGAAGGGTCAGGGGGAAAGTTATGGAGCAAAAAAAAGGGGTCGGGGGAAAGTTATGGAGCAAAAAAAGGTCATCTGCCCCTTTACGGGCAGCCATTTTGAACTCTGCTGTTCTCCACGGCACACCTCCCACTGCCTCATGGCATACCGGTATGCTGCGGAACACAGTTTAAGAAAGAACACTGCTGTAGATGGACTATAGGAGAAAGAACACTGCTGTAGATGGTGTTTGATCTTGCCGTGAGGGCAGGGGACTGGACTTGATGATCTCTCAAGATCTCTTCCACTTCTATATTCTATTCTATTCTATTCTATTCTATCTTAAGCACAAACCTGTTTAAAATCTAAAGCATGGGTACCAAAACAATGAAGATTAAGCCAACTGTACATTTAATCATAATAGAGTAATTAAATAGTTGATTCAGGTGAAGTTTAACATATTTTTCTGAATACTATGCATTTCGTTTACCACTGTTAAACAGATTAATTGGGTTTGGCTTGGACTGGACTTGGGACAGGCAAAAATAAAGATTATGGCTTCAGTTAGTAACAAATGAGCATAATATTTACAAGTTTACAGTGCTGGTCTTGCCAGTTATTTCAAGTAATGACCCTATGAGCTTGCTATGCATTAAGTAGGAAAGTCTCCTATGGTCCATAAAACAGTTTAATGATTTTCATGGGGTTCTTTTCATGGCTAAGTTAAGTATACTAACACAACTGTATGTTAACAAGTGGCTTAAAGCAAGATTGTTCCATTGGGCATAACCCAGAGTACAGGGTATGTGTAATATGCCCCATCTAGCACCTGTGAAGCATTGTGCCTCAGAGATATCCTTTTGGGGCACAAAGACACTTCTCATTTTCTGCATGACACTTACTGTATCAACTCCACTTACAGATGTATAGCCCAATACTTGCTCATTCCGTACCACTCCCTCTCTACCTGGGCTGGAGATTAAACAGACATGCTTATCTCCTTATGCAGTTGTATAGTCCAAGTCACAATCTAGCACACAGGATCCAGGAAAAGATGAAGCTCAAAAGTAGAGTATAGCTCAGGGCACACTAAAGATATCAGAACAGAGCTCAAACCAAATGGTAATTCATGTTCTAAAATTATGCTCTTTAGTAATATTTGTATCTGTATTATAACATATGTGGACACCATGGTACTGTTGACATAGAAAATGTAACTGAGAGTGGTTGCCACTGAAAGAATTACAGATTGTGTTCACATAATGAGTAATACAGCAGTATACTAGAATTAGACTGACCTGACAATGAGAAAAACTTAAAAAACAACAAACAGTCTGGTAGCACTTTAAAGACGATCAAAACAGCTACATGTTGTTTTTTAAGTTTTTCCGGTTACAGACTAACTCGGCTACCCCTCTGAAACTTCTGACAATGAGATGGGCCTTTAAAAAGTGAATGCTAAATTCAGCAGGGAACTCCATTGAGGTCAGCAGGATCGCAGAGCAGGTAAATCAGCATAGAATTGTTTTTCAACACTAATATTTCTCAATGGAAACTATCACCATAATTTTCAAACTTGGATACCTGACAATGTTCCCTCTAACTTTTTCCATCCATGTGTAGATTTTTTCCATCCATGTGCAGAACAAATTTATGTTCACTGAAGAATGTACAAATGTGCACCGCCCATTGAAACAAACCAACAAAACCTAGCTGTAGTTGGTCAGCTGACGCCATCTGTATATCTCCTGAGCAGCCGCACAAGAGCACAGCTTACAGGAAACACTGGTGCTTAACATTAAAAGCATGTATACTTTGCCTCAAGTTTCATCAAAACTCTGCTAGAACAAATGGTAAATTATTTGGCTCTCACAGATAAACTACAAATGGAGATTTAGATTGATTTAAATGTTTGCTTTTTTTTTTTTTTTTTTTTTTTAAAGTAAGACCACTTGGATTCTGGAGTAAATTTTGTAGCTGTAGCATACATGCAGATCTGGCTAAATGCAGGCATGTAAAAACCAGAGGAAAATCTTAGTCCAGGTCAATGACAAAACTTTTACTGAGTTCAGTGAAATCAAGATTTCATTCTGGGTGTGTTCATAAAACTTAAGGTCCCTGACTTTTACACATAACTATAAATGGGACAGACTTCAAACATGTTTCTATATACCAAAATGAGGGCTTGCATAGTTTACAAATAGCAAAAATAAAATACAAATTCAGCATTGGTAGCCTGCACATTTGATTTACCAGAATCAGCAGCTGTGATCAGCAAGATGTATTGCTCCTTAGTCTCTCGATCCAGGCTTTGTACCAAGTGGAGCTCTCCACTGGCTGAGAGAGTAAAGGCACTGTCTTCATTTCCACCAACAAGAAGGTATGTAAGTTTGCCGTTTAGACCTTGATCATCATCCCTTGCTACAACCTATAATAGTGACATAAGGATATTATAATAAATAATAATACCTGAAGAGTACATGATTGTGTTTATCATCATTATCTTCTGTGGCAAAGTATTTTTTTGGGAAGAGGAAATATTCCATCTCTGACAGAATGAGTTTTAATACTTGGAGGTTTATTACAAATTGCATGTTACAGCAAACTGACAATTTAAAAAGAGTGGTATCTTTAAAAAGTGATATTTTAAACTACAAAATTATTCATTTACTCTTTTTATCCATATGTTAACATATTATTAACACCAGCCTTTGAGCCAGCTTTAGATTCAGTAAAATGCACAGATGACTTTGTAGGAACCTGCTAAATCGAAGAGAATATTGTATCTGCTTCTGTCTCAGCATATTTAATGAAACTCTCCACTGCAGTAATGCCTTACCTGAAAGAAAGAAAGAAAGAAAGAAAGAAAGAAAGAAAGAAAGAAAGAAAGAAAGAAAGAAAGAAAGAAAGAAAGAAAGAAAGAAAGAAAGAGAATGTGCTCTATGGAGATGGAAGTGGAAACCAAGGGAATGAAATAAGCCTAATGTGTGTTTAAGATAAGGGGCCAACTGTTATACAATTTGTAAAGGAAAGCATTGCATGCTATGTTATACTCAAAAAAAGCAATAATTCAACTTTACAAATGTTAGAATGTATTTCACTTTTTGAAGAAGCAAATAGCAAATATTTGTAATAAATACGTTTTTAAAATGTACTGACCTGAAGAATAACTTTTGGAAGTGTCCCTAAATTCTCAGGGACATTGACAGAATATGGAGAAAGCTCAAATATCGGAATAAAATCATTGACATCCATCAGAACAATATTGACTGTGGTGGTGTCTGTTCTGGAACTACTTCCACGATCAGATGACTGAACAGTTAGTGAGTAGGAGGGCTTTTTCTCTCGATCCAAAGGTTTGGCTACTGTTACCACCCCAGTAACAGAGTCTATTCGAAACTCATTGTTGCTGTTCCCACCGATTATAGAATAGCGAACCTGCCCATTTGTGCCTTCATCTCCATCTGTAGCAAACACCTGAATCAGATCTGTTCCTGTCAGAGTATTTTCACCTACCTCTACTTTATATAGCTTTTGTGCGAAGAGGGGGCTGTTATCATTGATATCAAGGACTACTACAATGACATCTGTAGATGAAGAAAGGGATGGTTGACCTTTGTCTGTAGCTACCACAGTTAAGGTATAATTAGCAACTGTTTCTCTGTCAAGTTCCCCAGTGAGCCTTACTTCACCATCAATAGTGCCAATACTAAATTTATTTCCCAAAGGCCTCAGCAGAGTATATTCAATATAGCTGTTAGGTCCACTGTCTGGGTCAGTTGCTTGAGCTTTAAACACAATCGTGTCTATGGGTGTGTTTTCTGGGATGTACGTCAGCTTTGGAGAGATAAAGCTTGGAGGATTGTCATTCACATCCAGTAAAATAATGGACACTTGCGTTGTGCTTGTATATCTGAAGGCTGGTAGAGTAGCCATGTCATGAACCTGAACAACAAGGCTATAGAAGGACTGACTCTCCCGATCCAAAGGCTGCTTGATGCTCAGAACTCCATTCTTGTCAATATTAAATTGACCTAAGCTATCTCCTGATGTAATGCTGTATGACAACTGTGAGTTAGCGCCTATAAAACAAAAATAAGGATACATATGAAATACACAGAAATAGGTATTCGAATGACTAGTAAATAAAATAATTAGTGGTAGATAAAAATGGCAAAATGTTTACACTTCGAAGGAATACAATTATGTGGTAGAAAATCACTTTTTTAGGTCACCTGCAATTACACCAAGAAGTATTAAGGTGATATATTATATTTTATATGTTAGAATCAAGAACTGCACTCAAACATTACTGAAGATATTGTTTGGTAAAATATTTATAAATTGTAGAAGTTTATCAATACACTTCTGTAAATGTGTATATTCTCTGACTGACACAAAAGCCATATGATAACAACACACTAATTAGGGCACAATATTTATTTATTTATGTATCTGTACTGTTTTATTTCAAAAGGACACCAAGAGCAATGGCTCCCCAGATTACTCTCTCATATGACAACCAAAAACTATATTATGGATTTAATCACTAGCTATCCTTTCAGATTTATAAATGTACACCATGCTTTGAATATGTTAATGTGTAATAAGTACTCTTATAATTCAACAGGTATCAAACCTACTTCCACTGTAGTAAAGAGGAATTTTTCTATAGACTTTTGATATCTGGATCAGGGTCTATTAAATTTATCCTTTCCTTCTGGCCTCAAAATAATTTTTATTTGAAACAATGTAGCAATGGTATCTGTAAAATATTCAGTGTAAAAGGTCACAACCTTTTTACACAACTGAAGTAAAGGACAATATTTAACTTGATTTCAGTAGAACAAGAATTTGGTCCTACGCTGAGGCTACATCTAGACTGATGCATTTTTTTCGGAAAAATTACACAAATAGCACTCTGCAACTTGCATACCTTTTTCAGATTGTTTTTTTGGAAGAGGCTTTTCTGAAATTTGGCCCGTCTACACTGGGCCAAATTTCGGAAAAGCTTCCTCTTTCGGAAGGCCCTTCTTCCTCATGAAACAAGGAAGACAGGGCTTCTGAAAGAGCATGTCTGCTCTTCCACAAAAAATTCCCTTGATGCAGCGGAGTTTTTCCGGGATACCAGAGGTATCCAGGAAAAATTTCATAGTCTAGACCCATTATTTTGAAAGGTATTTTGAAATATTGGGCATTCTGTCAAGTTGGGGATTAGGTATTTGGGGATACCAGAAGTATCCTGAAATAGCACCACAATGTAGATGTACCCTTCCTGAACAAGGATAGTAGCAATGAAAGTAATGGACCCTCATGAGGCTGGGTACCAAATAAATTAAAGGAATTAGGGATGACAGTAGTTGTATATTTACACACACAATCCATATGTTCATTGCAGGGTGGATGTTGTACATCACTACTGGAATATAACATTTAGAACAGCTGGATAAGCAACATTATCATATGACAAAGGATAGAGCTTGATTCACCACTGTGTTACATGAGTTTCAAAGCAATGTAACTTCATATGTCCTACCAGTATACAATAATTTTGAGTAATGTGGTGGTAAATCAAACCGTTAAAGTCTCTATCTTGAAATTGGATAGGGAGGGTCCGTGAACCCTTATGCCCATGCAGAGGCTCTGCATGTCTGCAAGGGGAGTCTTTGAAGATTAAAGGTGAACCCCTTTAATACCCTAGCCCCATTTAAGTTCATCACATCAAAAATTCCTACTATGTCTGATTCTTAATGTAAATAATGATACACATTCACAAGAGAGAAATTTTTAGTACTATGTTCACAATAGCTATTACAGAAAAAATTAGGAACTGTACTAAAAGAAAAATAACTAGATTAAGCAGAGCAACAAAGAATAATATACAGAGATATGCGATACTATATATGAAAGAGCATTCAAAATATCAAATGAACAGCCCATATCTTATGACTGAAATATAGCTGCTGCAGTTATGGCCAAGGAAGATATTCACAAATTTTGCTTAAAAAATACACTGAATCCTGACAAAGTACTAAATGACTTGAAAACTTAAAACCCAGAGCTCATGTTAAACATTTGAGTTATTCTATAAAAAGGTGAGATGAGGTCTGTTTTTCTTTTCTCTCTGGTCTCTGCATTAAACCCTGAAACCATAAATTCATAATTTTGAAATTCTATATTTAGCTTCTTTGTTTATAAAGGTTGTGTTTGAAATTTATAACTAACCCCCACTGCACTTCTTTTTCCACAATGTATCATCTGAAAATAGACATTTAAGTATCTCATTACTTTGTATTTCCTGCCAAATTGTATTCAGTAGCTTCTCCCATCTCCATTGAACTTACTAGGAAATAAATGATTCCTATATACAAAATATTAATCATTGCCATTTATTGTTCTCAAACTAGTAAGATTCTACATCATTATTTTTTAAGCGTGTAGAGCTAGACATGAGAAATTATACATTTAACTAATATTTGGGAAAGATTGCTGTATTTATTTTTCAGACTTTAATTACTTAATGTTTGCATCTCGCTTTGTACACTAAGTATTATACATTTGTTTAGTTTGGTTTTAACTTGCTTAACTTTACCCAGGAAAATGTCCTGAAATGTCAAGGAGGAACATGAAAAACTACCAGCTTCATCAGCTGGCAATCCTACTTCTGTTTAAACCAATGGGAATTCTGCTACTGGCTTTGATGCGGGAACTGAACCCTAAAGAATAAGAATGAAGTTGAAACACTCCCATTAAATGTTATTACTCTGTGTTTCCAATCCTTTCTGTGGTATATTTTATCACTTGTTCCAGATACAGCTTATTACTCGTTCTTTTTTTATCTGCATATCCATACGCTATTTTATTCCTCGGACAATACTGATTCATAATCGTATCAAAATTACAGCAATTGCCATTCTTCCAATCCATGACTGTTTTATTATACTTTCCAGTCTATTTCTATGTGATACAATGTAGTTCATTATTTGTATTGGTTTTTAAAAGAAAATAAAAATCTCATCATTCTTTGGATTTGAATCCTGCAAACATCTCACATGCTCACTACTCACATGCTCACCTAAAATCCTTTCTGAAGTCAGTGGGAGCCTTACCATTGTCTTCAGTGGAGCCAGAATTTTACCCGTCATCTCACTGGAGAAAGACATTGTCCATTTAAAAAGAAAACACTATACACTTCACTTAATTGGACGTGGGGCATCTTTCATCCGTATCACTATTGTGAGTTAGACGTCCTTTATGCACGATGGGAAGACACCTCCACACTGATTACTGTGACTGAATAACAGTTGGCTGCCTCATTGGATTGATCTTTTCTCACTGACAGAGCGTGCCTTCAGCGCTCAGACAGGGAGATGTCAAGCTCTTTAAAGTTTTTAATGTGGCTAATTAGTATTAATGGGACAAGAAAAACTGATCCCTTTCCCCTCGGATGGGTTCACACTGCGCCGGCTTGTTATCAGCAGATATCCTGCTTTCTTGCCTAGAGATTTTTTTTCTGTGGCAGTCGTTCACTTCTCTACAACTCTTATAAGCTTAGTTTTGTTTTGGTTTATGAGGAAATTACTTAAGTTATACCTTTGAACACATCTTCGATATAAAACAAAAACACAAAAACCTGAAACAAAAGATACAAGAACCAATGCATGTCTTTTTTTGCACAGCTTTAAAAACTACATTAGACTCCCTTTGATAATACTACCAATTCTATATATAAAAGCAACTCAAATGGCTGCAAATAAGTATTAAGGTGGGTCAAACAGAAAAATAGCAATGAAAGTATTTTCTTTCTACAGGCTCTCTCAGAATTTACTAATGTTTATATTGGACTGACAGAAAAGGCCACCTGGTATAAAACAACATGCCTTTCATAGCCCAGCAGGCTATTTGTATCATTTCACAAATGATCAGAAAACTTCACAAAAGTTAATATACATTCAGATTAGGGCTGTCAAGTGATTAAAAACATTAATCATGATTAATCATGCGATTACAAAATGTAATCGCTATTAATCATGTGATTAATCGCGTGCACTGCCCCTTTGAAATGCTGCGGAAGCCCTGGATCAGCTGGAGTCCTCATCTGACCCCAGGCTCACTGCAGTTACCCCTTGGAATGGCCACCCCGGCGTTTCCAAGGAGCAGAACCACGGGAGCCCGAGATCAGCTGGAGTACCCAACTGATCCCCAGCTCCATGTCGCGCTGCCCCTTGGAAGTGCCGGAGCGGCGTTTCAAAGGGGAAGTGCAGCATTAATGCTTGCGATTAACACATTAAAAAAATTAATGCATTAATCACAGGCATTAACACACGTTAATTGACAGCCCTAATTCAGATCATTATCTGTGAGCTTATGAGAGGTTGGTACAGCTAGGGCTGGGGGAGGCAACCCCCCCCCCATCCCTATTAGGGAGGTTGGGGCGAGGAGGCCACATATCCTGAGCCTCCCTGGCCATGGAGAACAGGAAGGGCGAACTCTGGGGGAAGCAACACTCTGCCCCAGAATGCCTACAGCAGGTGTGCTGGGGGCAGAGTGTGGGCAGGGCCATGCCTGATGGTTTGGGAAGGCTGTGCCTTCCCCCGCCTAAACTACCAAATGCCTACATGTGAGCTATTTATGGAGAAGTACAATAGTAACTCCTACCCTGTTTTACACCAGTCTGCAGGGAACTACAGGGAACTACAGGGAAAGCTGCAGGGAACTACAGCTTGTTAACATCTGCTGAAGTGATTGTTTTATAAAGTACATTATATGAAGTAATTACACCAATGCTGTTGTAGCTGTGTTGGTGCCCAGATACTAGAGAAACAAGGTTAGTGGGTGAGGTAATATCTTTAATGGGACCAACCATGTAGCACGAGTATTTATAAGATGTAAACATGTAGAGATTTAAAAGATGAAAATATGTATAATTTGAAGCTTGTTTCTCTCACCAACAGAAATTAGTTCAAGAATGACCTTGTTTCTCAGTATAGTATATTGAAACCAATAAGCTCATGTAATCCATTTTCTGCTCTATTAAAGGTAAATCCACCCTACTAAAAAAGAAAGCTTGCCATAAAATATAGAATGCAAGATCCTGTCCATTATGCCCCACTGGTTCACACCATGTGAGTGCATTTACACCTTTGGAATTTGAGTGCAAAGTAGGTTTAAAATGGTACTCTTATGATCTGGAAGCATTTCACGTGCATTGTGTATAGCATTGTGTAAATGACTGAATAAAGTGCAAGACAATGGATAGTAAGATCCACAATGTTTAAATGGCATTAAGGTGATCACCCAAAGCAAGGGGAAATTCAAAGCCAAGCAGTACAAACCATTCCTCGTTGCTTTTTCATCTACTTTTTTTGTCATATTTTGGTGTGTTCAGTCTCCTACTATCATTGATGTTATCTAGAGTGATGTGTACATAATGTAGACAGGGGCAGATGACCATTTTGCGGGGCCCAGGGCAGCACAATTTTGCGGGGCCCCCCTTTGCCATGGCGCATGTGCGGTGGTGCCTCAGTGCATGCGCGGGGCTTCTTGAAGCGCGGGGCCCAGGGTGGCCGCCCCGCTCGCCCTGCCCTATATCTGCCCCTGAATGTAGATTATCATTCACTTATAATATCTACCATGACATTTTACAGGTAATTTTTATAAAAGTCATCCTCATTAATGTTTACACAAAATGAAATATCCTACACAGTATATGTTATGTATATGTACACCATAATTATTTTTCAATAGTCATAACAATATGACAAACTATATGACAACAGTCAGTTTGTTAAATACATTATATATATATGTATAAACAAACACCCCCCCCCCCCCACACACACACATATAAATATATAACATCTTTTAAAACCCTACATGTTGCACCGTGTAAACTCTTATACTAGAGGGTTTGATGCTGAGAATAATTCAAGGATTAAAACCTTTTAAGTGCGCATTTCCCTCACATGTAGTGACACCATCTCTTCATCTTCCCTGATAAAATACATTCAACCAGAAACATTGTAATGATGGCTGATGTGGTTTTGACATATTTCTCTGAGGTGTTTTGGAATCTATTACAGATTTTGTTTTAAAATAAAAATAGGAAAAACAAATCAAAACAAAATATTAAATTAAACCAGTTGCATTATATATCTGATTTAAGATCAAAATATTAAGAAAAGTATCTTTAAATATTCTGTTTTCATTGTGCCTAATTACTTCAACATGCTCAATATGTAAAACATTCCAACAATATATATGCCCAATTTGGATGTCAGGGAAGCTAGTAATTGACATCACTAAGCACAGGAATGTATTAAATATCCGTTGGTTTTTTATTCACGTCAAATAAAAAATGGTGGAAAACTTTCACTCTGCAACATAATGTGAATCATCAAACCATTTACACACAGTGATAATTAAATATCCAGGGTTTTTTTTAAATGAATATTTCAGACACAATTGTGTGGTTATTGTGGATAAATAATGTCTTTATAAAGATGGCCATTATTTGCCCATTCATGAACAAATGCCTTAATAACTTGCTAATATGAAACATGAATCTGTCATCAGAAGTTTTAGAATACAAGGGAGCACATACCATAATCTGCATCAGTCACATTAAAGTTGAGAATAGTAGATCCAGGAGGCAGATTTTCCATCAAGGACGTGCTGTATGAGGGCATGCTGAATAGAGGCGGATTATCATTTACATCCAGTATGTTGACGTAAACTCTGACGGTAGTGAACTGACCACCTCCATCTTCTGCACGGACAGTAAGAATGTAATATTGCTGCACTTCATAGTCCAAGATACGAGTGAGGTTAAAGACTCCGGTGACTGGATTCAAGAAGAACATGCCATCTTCATCATCTTCACTTACAGTGTATGTGATTTCTCCATTGATGCCAGAGTCATCATCAGTAGCTAAAATGGCTGCTACCAAAGAACCTACACAAAGCAATGGAAATACTTAGTGAGAGAACAAGAACAAGCAATTCACAAAAGACTAGAAAAAGAACCAAATGCTCCTAAGGAATTGGTAAATAGGCCATTCCCATGGAATAACAGGTCTCTTTCTTAAGAAAAAAGAGCCTCATAATTATGTTTTTTATTAAGATTAGGAATTAATTAAACACAGACCCCAATTTCCCAAAGTACTTACACACCAAGGTCCACTCCTATTCAGCAAAGTACTAAAATATTTGCTTAACTTTAAGTGCCTGATTAGACCCACTGAGACATTAAAATAACCATACCTAAGTTTGCTAAATATCCATTTTCTCTTGGAAAAGTCCTATAGATTTGAAAGGGATCGATCATGGAGGGTATTACTGAAAGTAAGAATGTTCTCTAGAATTATTTTAAAATTTAAAGAATTTAATAGAAAATATTTCTTTTTAAAAATCAACCTTAAAATAGGAGAGAAGTCTCTATCGCATTTTGTATGCTTTACAAAAATCTGTAGAAAAATTATCATTAAATTCCCCAACAATTTTCAAAAAGGGTGTGCTCAAAATGATCAACTATTTCATGGTCTTTCCCTCCACAAGAACAGTTTTTGCTTTTTGTCATATGTTTAATTTTATTATGTACAAATGTTTTAGGCTGTTGACCAATATGTTTTTTATTTTAAATTATTGTTAGGATATACAGAACTGGGGACAGACATCTCTATTTTCTATTTAAATTTTTTAAAAAAGTAAATACACTGCACAAATGGAGACTAAATAATGTCTTTCAATAGTATTTAACTTGCAATGTTCAAGGAAGGGGACCCAGGGTGTAAGTAAATACCACTATTAAACCTGATTATTCTTTTGTTTTAAATAGAGCTACTAACAATTGTAGGGTCTGTTAAACATGTTAAAGTTACCATAAGCAATTTTTTAATAGTTTGTCAGGAAACTAAAACCCTCATATTCTTCACAAAGGCTATATTCATAGGGTACATCTAGATAGCAGCGCTATTTTGGGATACTTCCGGTATGCCAAAATAGCTCTTCTGTATCTCTAAAGCATGCCCGTTATTTCAAAATATAACGGGCTCGCTATTCTAATGACTCTGTAAACCTCGTTCTGCGAGGAGTAATGGACGTTTCAGAATAGTGATTTATTTCAAAATTTGTCATTGTGTAGACAGTGCCAAATTTCAAAATAAGCTATTTTGAAATTGACTAGAAATAAGCTACGCAATTTGCGTAGCTCAAATTGTGTAGCATCTTTCAAGCTAAGGGGGCAGTGTAGACACACCCTTACAGTTCTTCACATACAATTCCTACTTTTTTGAGTTTGGCCCACTGTTTTATTTTTGCATTTCTTGCTATACTTTACTGAAGTTTAGAAATTGGGTGTTAGTGTTTAAGTATTTTTAACACTAACTACAATTAAATTCACTCAATTTCTAAAACCAATAATGTTTTACATGCTTCACAACTCCCTCAGTTATATTCAAGTAATGCAACTATGAAAACTGCTCATTATCAGAATGAAAATTATTACTACAATTTCATCTCTTTAATCAAGCTGTGCATTCTGGTTTCTGTAACATATGTTTGATTTTCTAATGTTTCAGTATTGCTGATTGCACATTAGTTGGCTGAAAGGCCATCTAATACTGGATCAGATTACCAAATGTACAGTAACAGTATCAGCTGTAATTGTAATTTGCAAATAAATAAGGTGATCATTGCTAATCATTGCTAGCTTTTGTACAATGTGCAGTGTTAAGAAAGGTGGCAAAGAGCCATTGGGCACATACCCCAGCCCCGCTGTGAAAAGGGCAAACATCAATTCATAGACTGAATGGAATACTGGGAATACTCAACTTGTGTATTCCCTAGGACATAAGATACAGCAAAGGGGGAACACCTATTTGCCCTGTGCATGCTGGCCTGTCAACTGGAAAAAGATCATTAGAAAGTATAATGGGACAAGCTGCACCATCCTAACAGTAGCACCCCTGTGTGTGTAACTTCCACCAGGTGCATTTGAACCTGGGACCTCTGGAGCTTAGTCTAGGAGCCTCTACCCTTTGGGTATGTCTAAACTACATGCCTCCATCAACGGAGGCATGAAGATTTGTGTATTCGAAAAAGGGAAATGAAGCCGCGATGTAAATAATTGCGGCTTCATTTAAATTTACATGGCTGCCGTGCTGAGCCGACAAACAGCTAGTCTGGACACTCCGTGCCGACCTGAAAGCCTTTTATCGACATCCTCCTTATGCCTCGTAGGATGAGGTTTACAGGGGATGTTGATAAAAGGCTTTCATTTCAACAGGGGAGTGTCCAGACTAGCGCCCAGAGCCGACAAACAGCTGATCAGCTGTTTGTCGGCTCAGCACGGCAGCCATGTAAATTTAAATGAAGCCGCGATTATTTAAATCGTGGCTTCATTTCCCTTTGCCTATCTGTCTAATCTACATGCTTCCATCGACGGAGGCATGTAGTTTAGACACACCCTTAGAGTTAAAAGCCAGCTGGAGCTCAGCCCATTTTATAGAAGTCTCTTGTTCTTATCTGTTGCTGTGGTCTTGGTGCCACTGTACAGGACAGTGAACCACACTAGTTGTATGGGTTACATGTACACCTGTGATGAGCAAGGGTGATGGCCCAATATTGCAGCAAACTGTGTCTAGACCAGAATACATGTACGCATTTTTGCTACATGTAAATGTATTGCCCTCAAATTCTTATGACTTTTTATGAACTTGTGATGCTTGAGTTGTATATTTTTAAGCCTGTTTTCTCTCTATATATTAAAGACAATTTTTCTTATGGAGCAACAGTGATGTCATCACTTCACTCTTCAACACCCTCTTTCCCCACCCCAGCCTCAACGGAGTCCCCAGAAGGGGAAGAGGTGGCCATGGCTCAGGGTTCCCCTCCCCCACTCTTGTGGGATGCGTTGGGCTTCCCGCTGGCCCCCAGCTACCCTGAAGGAGGGCCAGGGAGTGGCAGCAATAGCTCCTCACTGCACTGGGGGCCCCGAAGTTCCGGGACCCAGTGGGGAACTGCCACCTCTGGCTGCTCAGGCCAGACGCACTCCAGCCTAGAGCCCTCACCTCCCCCCCCCCCCAAGCAGGGAAGCAGGGAGAGGAGAAAACCCCAAAGCTCTGCACCAGAAGGGGACTAAGAGCTCTTGGGAAGGCCAGGAAGGAGATTGGGGGGGAGGGCAAGAGGCCAGGGCTAAAATCAGGGGGAAGGGTGAGAGGCTAGGGCTGGCATGGCCCCTGGTTCTCCCCTCCCCAGCAGCTAGGTCTGGTGCGGCCCCTGGCCCCCTCCCCCTCCTCAGCAACCAGGGGTTGAGAAGCCAGGGCCAGCATGGCTCCCGGGGGGAGAGCCAGGCTTGCTTACCCCCCCTAAACAGGGGGGTTGTCCAGCATAGTGAGCAGGAGGCACCGCCCCCTAGTAGTGATTGCAAAGAATATTTTCATCTCAACTTGCAAGGGATTATATGCACACCTGCAAACATAAAATGTACTGAACCTAAAAACACTATATCCATTACCTAAGGCAGCTTCAGCAACTATCTTTCTGTGTTTAGAACAAGAATTCCCATAGTACTACAATCACTGCTAGAGGCAATTTTGTTTTCAATTCATCACACTGAGCATCATAGTGGTCTCCCAAAAGTGTTTGCTCTGACTCAACATATGTATTGTATTATCTACAGCATGCACAATAGCATGAGTGAAGGAAAGAATTTCAATCTTAACTCAGAATTTCCTCCCCTGGTCAGACCGAGTCTGACCCTTTAATATTATAGAGATTTTCTTTCCCTTTTTTATTTACTTCTTTTTAAAGGTCCTGTGAAAAAGAAAAGACCTACAAAACCTCTCATTGATGCTCTAGTAATTCGACAGGTCCTTTGGGCAGGATGCATGTAATATTAATATACACATTGAGAGACTATATTACCCACTTCATTGAAGAATAAAAATACTATGGATTCTCACAACAGACATTCATTCCCATTGTACATAACGCAACAAAAAACCACATTGATTCTGGGCTGATGATGGGCATTTCCAAGTTGCAGCCCAGAGGTGAGTAAAATGGAGTTATGAACAGAGTTGTACAAAATGTTCACTTCAAATCCCAATGCATTTGAGACTGAGGCACATTAGGGCCTTAGCCCAACTCAAAAATATCAGTTCAGCTCTATGGAGGTCTCATATTTGGTCAGCGTACATTCTTCTGATCCAGCTGGCTCGCCAACTGCAGCACCCCTATACCTGCTTCCTGTTGGGACCTGATGTTCCCTAGATAGGGTATTCTGGAAACAAGTGGCAACCTTCCACCAACATTTTTCTGTTCACTCTCATTTAACACTAATAACCAGAGGCCCCAATCAGGATTGAAGTGCTCATTGTGCTAAGCACTGTATAAAGATATAAGCCCTGCCCTATATCTAAAAACTACAATCTTCCTTTTCTGCCCTGCCTTCATAGTTAAAGGAAGGAGCTAACCTATTAGCACATGGGTATTATGAAATCCCCAGCAACCATGAAATCCCAATCCCCCAGCTTTCTGAAGCAGGTTTATCCCCTATGAGTATCAAAATAACTAATGATGGCAAACTAAATATCCTTTCACATGCTGCCTATGGGACAAATTAAGGCCCCATTCTGACCACCTCTAAAGATAGTAAATTAAAAGGAATGGGATTTGCATCCATTTGGCCTTCTGCCCACCATTAAAATGATGGAGGGACTACAAATACGAGGAGGACATCACATGCCCCCAAAAAAGCAGAGTTTTCCTATCGTTCCTGAAGAACAGAAGGCTAAGTAAAATATGCATCCCACCCAGAGGCTTGTGCCTATGACGTGAATAGGTGAGATATGAATGGTGTAGAGAGATTTGTCTCTATACAATTTGAACCTGCAAGAGATCATTTATAGTTTTGCATGCTTGAGAAGTGAAGTAATAGAAATATTTGCAAATATTTACCAGAGTGGCAACAGTGTATGAAAAAACATAAAGTAATTGTAGAATTTAACTTCTACATCATTTTCCTATGTGAATGTCTATGCTCTAAATAACATGGATAAATGGTGATGACATACATAAAAAACAGAATGTTAATGTGCCACATGTTAGCAATAAAAGTTAGTGTGCCAGTAATGACAATATTAGTGATCACACTTGTACAAGTCAACTGAAAATAAAGGGTGCAAAACATCAATTTTAGAAAATAACAAGGTTTATTCCTTACTTTACCTGGAGTAGTATCTTCTGGTACATCAAATGAATACACTGGTTTGGAGAATTTGGGTATGTGATCATTAACATCACTAACAGTAATGTTTATTCTCATGTCTGAGGACTGCAGACCATCATCAGCACGAACCAGCAGGGAATACTTGGAGCGACGTTCCCTATCCAAACGTTTGGTGGCTATCAGATCTCCTGATTCAGGGTCAATGTGGAAGCTGTCATCAGCACCACTGATGATAGTGTAAGTGACAAGAGCATTAGCTCCCTAAATAAAAACACAAGTGATTATTTGTCAGACAACCCTTTACGACCAAGTCATTCCAACAACTGCTATCTGCAAAACACCTGTTCAGAACAATTCTCTTAACAAAACAGCAATCTCCCACTCTTCTCATATTTATTTGGACTGAATGAATAGAGGTATGTTTATTGGATATTATGTTTTCACTCCTGTTAAAAAAAAAGAGGATAACATCTATTCAATAAAATAAAGTGCAGAAAAACATTGATGCTCTATAAGCTTTGAAATGTGATCAATCTAAAATAGAGCTGGTACTAAGGATTTCCCAGTCCCCAAACTTGCACAGCATTCCTCACAGAGTTATAGAGTACTATCACTAGGGACATTATTTGGTCCTCTTACATAACAGAGTAGTAGGCTGGAGTCTGTGTGGTAGGTAGGTGGGTCACGTCAGTAGAAAATAACACACTGTGGCACACAAAAGGAACATTTGTATCTAATCAAAATATCATTCCTTAAAATATAATGATAAATTTGTTGTTTAAAATTACAAGTTATTTAGGCTATATCTACTCTATGAGATACGGTTATGATGCCTCTACATATACTTGTGCTAGCACTCATCGAGCGTAGCCATGGTAGCATGAGTAGTGGAAGCAGAGGTACGGCTGACCTGTGATATGTACAAATTCTCCTCATAAGATCTTAAGAATGGCCAAACTAGGTCAAACCAAAGTTCCATACAGCCCAGTATCCTGTCTTCTAACAGCGGCCAATGCCAAATACTCCAAAGGAAGTGAACAGAACAGGGAATCATCAAATAACCCCTCTCCTGTCACCCATTCCCAGTCTCTTACATAGGACATAATTCCTACCCATCCTGGCTAATAGCCATTGATGCACCTAACCTTCATGAATTTATCTAGTTCTTTCTTGAACCCTGTTAAAGTCTTGGTCTTCACAACCTGCTCTGGCAAGGAGTTCCACAGGCCATGATGCGCTGTATGAAGAAAAACTTCCTTTTGTTTGTTTAAAACCTGCTACTTATTAATTTCATTTGGTGACCCCCTAGTTTTTATGGGAACAAGTAGAAAACTTTTCCTTATTCACTTTTTCCACACCCGTCATGATTTTACAGACCTCTATTTTATCCGCCCCTTCCTCCTTAGTCTCCTCTTTTCTAAGTTGAAAAGTCCAAATCTTTTTAATCTCTCTTCATATGAGACCCATTCCAAACCCCTAATCATTTTTGTTGCCTTTTTCTGAACCTTTTTCAATGCCAATATATCTTTTTTGAGATAAGGCGACACATCTGTATTCAGTATTCAAGATGTGGGTGTACCGTGGTTATATATAGAGGCAATAAGATGTCTCTGTCTTATTCTCTACTCCTTTTTTTTTTTTTTTTGAATGATTCCTAACATTCTGTTTGCTTTTTTGACTGCCACTGAACATTGAGTGGATGTTTTCAGAGAACTATCCACAATGGCTCCAATATCTCACTCTTCAGTAGTTATAGCTATATTAGTCCCCATCGTATTGTATGTATACTTGGGATTATTTTTTCCAATGTGCATTACTTTACATTTATCATCATTAAATTTCATTTGCCATTTTGTTGCCCAATCACTTAATTTTGTAAGATCTTTTTGAAGCTCGTCACAATCTGCTTTGGTCTTAACTATCTTGAGCAGTTTAGTATCATCTTCAAATTTTGCCACCTCACTGTTTACTCCTTTCTCCAGATCATTTAGAAATAGGACTGGTCCCAGTTCAGACCCTTGGGAGACACCACTAGTTACCTCTCTCCATTCTGAAAACTTACCATTTATTCCTACCCTTTGTTTCCTGTCTTTTAACCCTTTTTCAGTCCATGAGAGGACCTTCCCTCTTATCCCATGACAACTTATTTTACTTAAGAGCCTTTGGTGAAGGATCTTGTCAAGGTTTTCTGGAAATCTAAGTATATTAGGGTATGTCTACACTAGCCTCCTACTTCGAACTAGGAGGGTAATGTAGGCATACCGCACTTGCAAATGAAGCCCGGGATTTGAATTTCCCGGGCTTCATTTGCATAAGCCGGGCACCGCCATTTTAAAATCCCGGCTCGTTCGAACCCCGTGCTGCGCGGCTACACGCGGCACGGACTAGGTAGTTCGGACTAGGCTTCCTAGTCCGAACTACCGTTACTCCTCGTGGAATGGGGAGTAAAGCTAAGGGGCTAAAGCCTAGGAACCCTTCAGTGCCACGACTGGATGTAAGGAGGTGCTACAGAAGCATGTAGTCACTGGCAAGCTCCCATAGCATCTGCTAATCTCTGGTATAAGGGAGCTTATGTATATGCCTGTTCCCTTGTACCTTTGTTGTCGGTAGTTCGGACTAGGAAGCCTAGTCCAAACTACCTTGTCCGTACCGCGTGTAGCCGCGCGGCACGGGGTTCGAACGAGCCGGGATTTAAAAATGGCGGCGCCCGGCTTATGCAAATGAAGCCCGGGAAATTCAAATCCCGGGCTTCATTTGCAAGTGCGGTATGTCTACACTACCCTCCTAGTTCGAACTAGGAGGGTAGTGTAGACATACCCTCATATCTACTGAATCCCCCTTGTCCGCATGTTTGTTAATCCCCTCAAAGAACTCTAGTAGATTAGTAAGGCCTGATTTCCCTTTACAGAAACCATGATGACTTTCCCCCAACAAAATTATGCTAAATTATGTGTCTGACAATTTTATTCTTTACTATAGTTTCAACTAATTTGCCTGGTACTGACATTAAATTTAGTGGTGTGTAATTGCCAGGATCACCTCTAGAGCCCTTTTTAAAAATTGGCATCACGTTAGCTATCTTCCAGTCATTAGGCACCTGATCTGAGTTAAAGGATAGGTTACAAACCACAGTTAATAGTTCCACATTTGCACATTTGAGTTCTTTCACAACTCTTGGGTGAATGCCATCTGGTCCAGGTGACTTGTTACTGTTACATTTATCAATTTGTTTCAAAATCTCATCTAAAGACACCTCAATCTAGGACAATTCCACAGATTTGTCACCTAAAAAAGAATGGCTCAGGTTTGGGACTCTCTCTAACATCGTTAGCTGTGAAGACCAAAGAAAGAGTTCATTTAGATTCTCCTCAATTACTGTATTGTCTTTAAGTGATCCTTTAGCATCTCGAACGTCCAGAGGCCCCACTAGTTGTTTAGCAGGTTTCCTGCTTCTGATGTACTTAAACATTTTGCTATTACTTTTTGAGTTTTTGGCTAGCTGTTCTTCAAATTCCTTTTTGGCTTTTTCTTATTATATTTTTACACTTAACTTGACAGAGTTTACGCTCCTTTCTATTTTCCTCACTAGGATTTAACGTCCACTTTTTAAATGATGCCTTTAAATTGGTGGACATATACTTTGCGTAGTTGTGTCTACATTGCATATACTAATGCTACCACAGCTGCACTGCTATTTATACTCACATTAGCTCAGTGCGAGATAGTATGAGTACATATACACAAGAAGGGGAATCCAACCCTACCTTGTAGAGTGACTAGATGTCACCTTAAATGCCGTGGTTATGTTTGGTGACATGAGAGAGGTAAAGATAGTTATGTGACGAGTTGGACAGAATCCCTCTTACCAATTTTTTATCCAGACTGTTTGTTCAAAAACCAGGAATCAGACAACCGATAAAATAAATTAAAACTTATACTGCTGCCCCCAGATTCAAACAGCTAGGCATAGCACTTTAGTTGACATACCCTCTGTATACTCAGGTGTACCTGGTGTATGGAATACATTTTCCTGTAATTGTATAGCTTAACAAAAATATTTAATGAAAACTTTGCATTTCTTAGGTGACCACATTCTTTATTATTTGTTCCATTTAACCATTTTCTCATAATGAAGTCCAACTATGAAACTGACTACATTTGATTTTGTCTGGCAAAAATCTGTAATTTTTTACAAATTAGGTGAAAGGCAAAGAAAATCAAAATACAAAAAAAAAACCATTAAAACATACTCTCTGATATATATATTAATTTTCCTGCCTACACACAGACCAAAATAATTAGCAAAATGTTAAGAGTTTTAATTGTTAAAGCCATGGCTACTACATGGTGTCCATGAAATGACATGACAAATATTTTGATCTGAATGAGTGCCTTAATATAATGGGTGAATGTTTGAAAACTACTAGCCAAAAGTATGACATGTGAAGGATTCTCTTACACTTTTAGAGCATGATTTTTAAAGGGGCTTTATTCTGACTTCCTTTTTTATGACCACAACTTTATTTCTTCCAGCAAAAGTAATTGTGAATGTAGACAGTAGGTAGATGTCTATAGCACCAGCAAAATATTGAGCTGCAGTTATTTGTACATTAAACTGCAGGTGCAAAAAGTAGGCCTTGTTTTAAAAGTGAAACCCTCAATATCCAAAAATGTATGGTGGCAAGAATAGTTCCTGTAAAAAATACCACACAATTCACTTCAGAGTGGAAAGGAAGCTAGTTAAATTCTGCCTCTCTTTGTTAGAAACTCACAAGTAAAAATGTATATAGAATTCTAAAATTGAAATTGTTACTAACATCAGAAGTGCATTTTGTACTTCTCAGAAACACTTTAAAAAACTGATGTTAAACTATGAAAATTAAGTATCATCAATATTTATAAGGGAACTGAGCGCCCTTGGAAGTCAAAGAGACGACTCTCCCTGAAATCAGAATGAGAGTTTTAGAACCGGCTCTACTAAAATATTAGTAAGCTAAAATAAAGGATGGATTTGATAGCTAATATCATCTCATGTTTTTGAAAAACATTTGTCTCTAACTGTCTTGATATAAACAACTTTAAAATTAGGCTCCACACTTACAAAGAGGAATGTCAATATTTTTGATGGTTCTTTTTAGTCACATTTAATTTACCAACTAAAACTTACATTATGGATAAATTGACTTTCAGATCTTATCTATTAGATGCAGGGACACAAAAAATCCTGTTCTTTACCCCTACAAAAAAGATGCTCAACAGATTAGAAACAGAGAGAAAGAAAGGAGACACACTCATACACACCCACGCATCCATACATGTACCAGAAGTGTTCCAATAGTTTTGTTACAGAAGGAACTAAATAAACTACCATTAAAACAGTCATAGAAGCCAGCACTAAGCTAACACAAAAAGAGTTATAGGATTATCCTTACTACTGCAGGTCAATGCATTCTGTAGTTAAATGAAAGGTGTTTGTTTATTAATTACAGGTTGTACCTCCCAGGTCCTGCACTCTTGGGACCTGACTGATCTTGGACCAGGGAATTTGCTGGACAAAGGAGGTCAAAGTGGCAGGGGCTCTGCTTTCCCCTGGGCTGGCCCATAATTCTGCTTTCCCCCCAAAAGCTCCACTCCACTCAGGGATTTGCTCTCCCCACAGTGGTGGTGTGGGGGGGAAGGTGTCCACTTTTCCTCCTGTGGCTTCACTGCTGCCCAGGGCTCCACTTTCTCCACAGTGTCCAGGGGCTCTGTTGCCATCCAGAGATCTTCTCTAACTCTGGTGGGGGCTCCACTCTCTCCCTGGTGGCTTGGCTGCTGGCTAGGGCTCTGTGTTCCCACTCGTGGCCAGAGGCTCTGCTTTTCTCCCCACTTGGAAGACATGCACATGTAACTGTACATGTTCTCTTCCCCCCCTCCCCGCAATTTCTCCCCATCAGCAGGCTTGTGCACAACTATTTATATTATAATCTTTTGCACAGTCACTAAAAAGTCAACAGAAATTATTAAAACATTATAATTAATGTTCAAATGGCTTCCTGCCCAAAATAAATGAATAAATCAATGAAATTACACCTACACACAGACTTCCAACAATATTGAAATATCATTACCAAGTCAGCTGTTCAGAGAGAATGCTTCTAATATTCTTAATGGCTGCTCAGATTCAATGTTTTAATAGTACTGAATCCACATGATTGACAGTAAGATGCTAGGGACAGTTTTATGTGCAAATAGGTTTTTTCAAAGTTCTTTCCTTGACCTTTTATTTTTGTAAAATTGAAGTCCATGGTAATGAGAAATAGTGACAGTAGTTAGATTTAGTCATAGACTAGGCAAACACTGTAAAAGCTTCCCTAGCTCAAAATACAGCCATCTTTGCTTGACACCATGGTTAATCTGTAAACTTTGAATATGACTTTGAATGTTGGACATCTTCATAGTTCATAGCTGATTGGATCTGAAACTGTGGTTTAAAATAGTTCTGCACTGAAAAGCCTTGATCATGGGCCAACATGAGCACTTTTAGAACCAACATGAGAGTCCAGTCTCCAGTTCCAGTCAGTGTGTAACATCTTTGTGGAGAGTGACAAAAGGGATGCTAATGACCATAAATTAGCTATTATAACACACGTCCAAGTATAACACACACTCATGTATTACCCACAGTTTTTCTACCGTGTGTAAAAAATATATTAGAATACCCATGGATGTACATAACCCGCAGAGACTTCTGCTGCCTTCATAAAAGAATCTGGTAGTATTTGATGTGGTTACCACTTGCCAGCTATAAAGATTGAAGATTACGACATTATGCAGCCCAATAATAGTGGGTCTTGTTATACCATTAATGAACCACGGCTGAAGCCGCTGAGCTATAAAAAGCAATAAGCACTACCCTATTACCAGTATATAAGACCGACACCAACCACAACATTTTAAAACGTTTTCTGTTTATAACAAATATAGTCCAAGAAAATATTTTTAAAGATGCCTACGCGCAAATCATATACAGCCAATTTTAAACTATCTGTTGTTACATAAGCAAAAGAAAATGGCAATAGAGCAGCAGGCAGAAAATTTTCCATTAATGAAAAGTCTGTTCACAACTGGAGAAAAGAAGAAGCAGAGATTGAGAAATTAAATCCTCGCAAAAGAGCGCGTCGAAGAAAGAAAGCCAAGTAGCCAAACTTGGTGAAGAAAACTTGGCGAAGTGGGTTCTCACACAGAGAGAAAGCCAAGGTGCAGTCTCAAGGCTTGACTTATGGCTATGGAGATGAAAAATCAATGATTTTCGCGGAGGCTCAGGTAACTGGGTTTACAAATTTATGAGATAAAACAACCTTTCAGTTTGACACGGACAAGTGTTGGGCAATGCCTTCCTGATGAATGGGAGAAGAAGATGGATTATTTCAAAGATTTTGTCCATAAAGAAATTAACCAGCTGGGTCTGAAACCAAATGATGTCATTAACATAGACAAGGTGCCCATGTCCTTTGATATACCCGCAACTCGGTCTGTTGCTGCAACTGGACTGAAGACAGTCGGAGTAGCAACCACAGGTCATGAACGCACCTGTTTTACAGTCATATTGGCATGCACCGCTGGTGGTGAGAAATTAAAACTAATGGTAATTTTTAAGGGGGTGATGATGCCTCGAGAAAAACTACCAGCCAGTGTATCTGTGGTCTATAACAAGAAGGGCTGGATAAACACAGAGGTGATGAAGACGTGGACAGACAGCTGCTTTCATGCACGAAAAGGCAGGTTTTTTAAACCAAAAAGTAGCAGAGATTTGGATGCCTTGGCCACCCATAAAGAAACTTTGGTTCAAAAACGTGTAAATGCCGTGGGAGCACATATCGCTATAATTCCAGGTGGACTGACCTGCAAGTTGCAACTGCTTGATGTAGCTGTCAGCCACCCATTCAAGTGCTTCATCCATGAGGAATGGGACAATTGAATGACAAATGGGGAGCACACCTTCCCTCCGGCAGGTCAACAGTGCCATGCAACTTATGTTGAAGTTTGCAAATGGGTATTGGCAGCTTGGGAAAGAATAACACCGGCTACTATTCGCAATGGATTCCGTAAATGTGAAATTCTTCTGGAAGTTGACTCGTCTAGCTCTTCATCTGACTACGACAGAGTATCTGACGCAGTATCACAGGCCTCAACCATCAACGAAGCATGCCTAGCCGAGGTTATGGATGTTTTTCAAGATGAGTATGATGAAAGTTTTGATGGTTTTGAAAATTCAGATTGAGGAGGATGCTACTAGTTTTGACTTAAATGATGCAGAGTAAACTTATTCAGCATGCAGCATGTACTATTTATTTTATGACAATGCATAGGATGGATTTTTTTAAAGCTGCAATATCATATGTATTAACATTTATTTATTTAGTAGCTTCACAGTAAGTAAGTTTTAACTTTTATTTTATTTTAGTAAATACAACAACATTGCCGCTCTTATTAAATTATTTTTAAATCTAAGATACTGATTTTATTATGTTGATCTTGTCTTCTTGTAATATGAGTAAAAATCAAACTGCATAAGACGTGGACATATATACCCCGTGGGAGGAGAGGGGGCATGGTAGGTAAAAACATGGACAACCTGCAGGCTAAATTTGCTAACTCATGGTAGTACCAAACTATGATTGTGTTTTTGTTATCTGTACAACTACTCATTAAAAAGTGGACTGAGAGCAGCACAGGCCATAGAACTGCCCTCAGGTGATATCAACTTTGGCTAACTATATTTTCATGGGAGTAACTCACAACTATGAATATCTTGGGGGGAGGGTGGCAAATGATAAGACTGTAACAGAAAAAAAAGATGAACTTGAACCTCTTTCTCAGGAAAAATACTCATGAAAGTAGTTCAGGTTCAGGTCAACATATGTTTGAAAAATGGTATTATTTAATATTCTAGTTCGAATAAGAAATATTCTCTTACCTCATCAGCATCCATGGCTGTCAGCTGCATTATTTTAGATCCATCCCCTATATTCTCTTCTACTGTTAGATCAAGCATGTCTGTTGGGAATACTGGTGGGTTGTCATTGATATCTTGAAGTGTTATTTCCACCTATGATAGAAGGGGGGGGGGGGGAAGTTATTGTGTTGTATCTGTCAAATATTGATCAAACAAGACTAAAGGACCTACAAAATTCACAGCCATTAAAAAAAATCACTGACTGTGATAGCTGGTCTTTTGTGGGCTTTTACCCTATATTAAACAGATTTCACAGGGGAGACCAGTGTTTCTGAAATTGGGGGTCCTAACCCAAAAGGGAGTTGCAGAATGGTCAACAAGATTATGTTGGCGGAGGGATCACGGTATTGACACTCTTACTTCTGTGCTGCTGGTGACAGCTCTGCCTTCAGAGCTGGGCTTCCAACCAGCAATCACTGCTTTCCAGCTGCCCAGCTCTGAAGGTGGTGCTGCTGCCAGAAGCAGCACAAATCAAGGGTAGCAGTAGCACAACTGCCCTACAATAACCTCTTGATACCCTTCCGCCCCCCCCCCCACACACACACACACACAATTTTTTTGGGTCAGGACCCCTACAATTACAACACTGAAATTTCAGATTTAAATAGCTGAAATCATTAAATTTATTATTTTTAAAATTCCATGATCAGGAGATTGACCAAAATGGACTGTGAATTTGGTAGGGTCCTAAACATGACTTGCAAATAACCTAACTTGGAAAGAAATCAGATAAATTATGCCTAATAAAATGAATAAGAACATTCCCAAATAACAGCAAAAACAAAAAAAATGATCCTAAGGCTATTAACATTCCATGTTATTATAAAATCCTCATAGAAAAGCCTCTTACATAAATAAAGTTCATTTGACTTGTTGATAGCAACTGATTTTAAATGGTCTTAGTCTAGTTTATATTGGACCAGATCCACTGATTGACTGTCATTGTAATCCTCAATGTTGGCCCCTGGAGGACAGCTGCCAAGACCTGGGGAAGAAGATCATTCAACCATTAAATGCTGCCCGACATAAAGATGAGATGGTGTAAAATTCCCCCTGAAATGTTTACATATTGGCAACTCTCAGTTCTGCGGGAGGAAAAATTCCCTTCCATTTTGTATTAGAAAGCATTCTATTCCATTCCTTCTTCCCCCCAAGATTCTCTTATAATTGCAAACATAAATTCCTCACTCCTTGCCTATTCACATCTAAACAAATATTCTTTTAATGCATTGAGTTTATATACTTCACAAATATTAATGGTAGTGTCTGAAAGTTTGGACAAGGTTATTTACTCATTGTTCTATGAAAATAAGATTGTTTAGTTCTCACAGGATTGCTAATGCTGGAATTCAAAGCTTTAGGGCTTGCTTTTTCACTGTTGACTGGGTACTGCATTCTAAGGTTCAGATGAAGAAAGAGAGGACAACAGCTGTTTTTTATCTATCGTGAAAGTAAATGCTTCCCATAGGGCTCAAAATATTAAATAGTCACCAGAACTTGAAGACCACCAAGGAGAAAACTGAGTAGCTGGGGTAGGACTATCTTTGTTGTCTTTTTTTTAAAATGGGGAAAGGTAGATAGGTAGACAAAAAGAGAAACAAAGAAATGGATAACTTAAAAGAAAAAGCAGATATGCAGATTGACAGATAGAATAATAATTGTACTTTAGTGCCTCCCTTTCCTATTGCCCACATGGGATTTTCCCACATTTGATTGAGAACATATGGCTTAACCTGGTCTGGGTATAATCAGTGCAGACACTTGAGCTCCACTGCCTGTAGTTTCTAGAGCACCAATCAACTACTAGATTTTCTTCTTATATTCCGCAATCATCTAACACTAAGGCAACCAATGGCAGAATCAGTTTTATTTGACCAGAAGAATGAACACCTCAATGGTTGGAGCTGAAAGGCAGAGAGGAGTAGGCAGAGAATGGGGCGTTGGAGAAGGGGGAAGTGCAGGAGTGGGGAATCTTGGGAAGGGGCTGTGCAGGACTGAGGTCTCGGGGAATGAGAAGAACAGGGGCAAGGCCAAGGATGGAGCAGTGGTGCATTCCACTCTGTCAGCTTCCATTACTTCTTAATCTGTCCTATTCTCTGTCTCTGTGTCCTTGAGATCACTTAATCTGAGCAAAAATCTTCCAAACTCTGTTCATCAGTATTTATCTAATCTTTTTTTCTATTGTGTCATTCCTCAAACTCTCCTCTATGTCAGTACCATCTGCCTGCTTGTCCCGTCCTCCTATAAATACCTACATGCTTGTCAGCTTCCATTACTTCTTAATCTGTCCTATTCTCTGTCTCTGTGTCCTTGAGATCACTTAATCTGAGCAAAAATCTTCCAAACTCTGTTCATCAGTATTTATCTAATCTTTTTTTCTATTGTGTCATTCCTCAAACTCTCCTCTATGTCAGTACCATCTGCCTGCTTGTCCCGTCCTCCTATAAATACCTACATGCTTTCAGTTTTGATAACAGTAAACTTGGGTTTTTGAAAAGTTGAAGAATATTCTTCTATAGGATGGTGATAGAATTGTGGCCGTGTTAGTATGGTGTAGCTGAAACAAAATACAGGACTATGTAGCACTTTAAAGACTAACAAGATGGTCTAATAAACCATCTTGTTAGTCTTTAAAGTGCTACATAGTCCTGTATTTTGTTTCTTCTATAGGATGCTGAGAGTAATCAATTTTCATTAGCTTCACTAAAGTAAGGATTCTCAGTTCCCGGAGTGGGCCATACATAAGCAAACTACACTTGTGTTTTTAAACACTTATGTACATTTTAGAATTTTTAAAAACTTTTTTGCAAACTTGTTTATATTAATTCTTGGAAAAATTGAAAATCGTTTTGTTCACGATTGCTTTCACATCTGTGCACATAGTGGTTTGTTACTGCAGGGTTGTTCATGAGTGTAAGGTGCTGGTATTTTTGCATGTAATTACAGAATAGAACTGATTTTTTTATTATAAATAATACATATTGCATGAATGTTGGACCTGTCAGATTTGAATGCTTTTTATAAAACTCCATAATTAATTAATTTTGATATTTAATTTCTTTTTATATTTATTACCAATAGTGCACAGACACCTCAAAGAATGAGATGTCATATGCCAAACCTCTACCTGGATGCTTTTGTTGCCAAATTCAAACCTCTGAAAATAAGAGTTTCTAATAAATCTTGAATGTGCTGGCCTAATATTAACTATAGTGTCACAAACAATGTGTCTAATTAAACAGCCAGAGATTTATTTTCAAAGAATTAAACAGTCCAAGAGGCTAATTTTCAGAGACAGAGGCAGTACTGTGACATTTACCTACAGAGTGAGAAGAGAGTTAGTAAGAAATGAAAGATAAAGGATTGTTATATGTTATACCTGCCAGTCAAATCTTGGCCCTTGGACTGCTGCAAGTGAAGCATGCTGTTGTTCTACTGAAACTATTAAGTTTCATCATCTACACCTTGAAGGTATGGCAGCTGTGCAACTTTGTAATTTATTTATTAATGCTCTATAACTCATGCAAGCTAATGTTTCAACTGCAGATGACATTTCACCACCAGAACACATTTTCACAATGACTGATTGTCCTTTGTGACAGTTTTATAAAAGATGTCCATCAACGTTGGGTTTCTTCTGGCTAATCATTTTGCATGGCGAAAGTCCCTGATCCCAAGATAGCTACAACATACAACAGTCAGTGGAAGAGAACACATATAGCTTAGAATTGTTGAGTACAAAATTAATTAACACAAGGACAGATTGGCTACTGTCAATCAGAATGACTAAAAAGAAGGGACACAAGATCAACAGGACATTCTGGATCTTATTCTAAGACTTCGGTGCCTCAAGTAAATAAAACATTCATATTTCATACCGGCCACCCAGAGTTGTAGTAGAAATTGAAGGTAGCTAATAAGCATTAGCCTATACACAGCACTGCAAACTGAAAGACATTGGTATATGTCCCTTAAAACTGATGTCACTAAAACAAGTTAGACTCAACAGAAGGACAGACTATGATTTTCTCACACAGTCTTCCCACACCAACTTTCAGTTGCTTTGTTCTATATCTTAGGGCTCATTTAATAAAAAATACATTCAAAATGTAGTTCTGCTAAAAGCTGATGTTTAGTCTTCTATTTGGAGGGATTGAGAAATGTCACTTCTCTCAGAGAAGGACAGAGGGACAAGTGCAAGCCCATGCGGTTGGGCAGAACTGGATCACCTGTCAGAAGCAAAAGGGTGGGACAAAAATGGGAGGTATAAAAAGTAGGGATGCAAACTGTCATATAAAAAGTTGAACAGTTAACCACTATGTTTAACCAGTTAACAGTGGAACAGCTCCCACCCGCGGCATGATGTGATTGGCCTGGCTGGAGCAGCCCCCGCCCACGGCGTGATGAAGCAGGTCTGGCCAGGCAGAAGTAGTCTCCTGTCTGCGGCCGTGTGCCACAGGCTGCTCTGTCCAGAGCAGGCTGAGTACGCTGCACTGTGGATGGGGACTGCTTGGGCTGGGTTGGGCTGGGCCTGCCTGCGGCACGCCTCCCATTGCCCCTTTATATACCTAACACATGCTTCCCCTCCAGCTCAGTTGTTAAGGAGCTGCTGGAGGACGCAGATGCCCCTAAGCTGCTGCACCCCAAGCCCCTCAACCCTGGTCCTACTCTGGAGTCCGCACCCCCATCCAAAGTTTTCACCTCCCCTACACCCCAACACTCTGCTCCAGCCTAAGCCCCCTCCAGCATCCCAAACCCCTCCTCCTCACCCACATCCCACAGCTGGATCCCCCAACCCTCCTCACACTCCAAACTCCTACCCCAGTCTGGTGAAACTGAGGGGGGGAGTAGGAGAATGAGCAACAGAGGGATAGAGGATGGAGCAAGCAGAATGCGGGGCTTCAGAAAGGGGATGGGGCAGGGCATCAGGGAAGGGAAGGAGCTTTGGGGAAGGGGTCAGGCAGGACAAGGGTGTTTGGTTTTGTGCAACTGGAAAGTTGGCAAACCTAAGGCTAGACTCCCCACATGATTTAGTGTCCTGCTGGTCTGTCTGGTTGAAGGACCACGGCTCCTAAACTCAATACTGGGTTACCCCGTCGAGTGACAGACCTAATGCACATTCCCCTCTGAACTATGCTTCATGTCCTCCACCCTGCACCCCTGCCCAGATCAATAGATATGACCACCTTACTGGAAATTAACAAGTATTTAGGAGATAGCTTGTGAAATATCTATTACATTCACTTTCTAAGACACATACCCACCAACATTTTATAGCATTCCTATTTGAAGAGATATGGCTACTTTATTTATTCTGTATTTATTATTTATACATTTATTGGTGTGATGGAGGCCAGGGAGGAAATAACATCCCATATCAAATATTTAAGCCAATACATATACCTCCTGAATAAACTAACTTTCCCTTTCCTAGATATTCCCCAACTTACATTTGCTGGCATTGATCTTCCAGGTATCACAAATATTTGACTTGTATCACAGCTACTTGTGTCACAAGCTTCCTACTAACAACAAAATAAAATCCTGATTTTGGAATCTTTGAACGTTGGTTTCAGTGGGGCCAGGGCGTCAACCCTTTTGCACCTTAGCATTCTATTCATTTCAACCAAAGATTTAGTGTACAAGGACTGCAATATAGAATCATAGTACCAGAACCAAAATTTGTTATTGTCAATTGATTAACAACTCCAAATACTATGGGAGGAGAAGAGGGGATAACAAGAATAGCCTGATCACTATTTTCCATAACACTTTCCTCCTCACAAATGCATGACCATCTCTTGCAAACGCTGACAACTCACGTATGCCTTTAGATTGCTAGTGAGGTTTGATTTCTTGTTATGCAACATATCTATTTCTTAATACAATAATATCATAATTAGGTCCTCATGCAAATAGTTTTCACATATTTAGTCCGTTGAACACAATAGTACTAACAGTCCTCACATAAGTAAGGACTG